TCTTACTCACAAGCTTTTAGCCATGCTACTAAAATGACCACAATAGTTCACATTCCAGCTGCCTTTCAGTCATATTGCCACATCTTCACTAGACCAGCTCTGAGAGCTGTGATGACCCAGGCTCTGAGGTATTTGGGCAGCAGCTGTGAAAACTTGGCGACTTCCTTTTGTTAGTGACTGGGACTTTGTTCAAGTTTGGCTTTGGCTTCTTTTTCCTCTGCCCTCTAAACAGGAGTGCTCCTTTGGGTAAACAGCTTTGGGAGAACAAATGAGAAGTACATACACTTTTAATTTGTACTACTACCACTACAGCCCTGGATTCTATTGAAGTAAATATTCTTTGGGGCTCTGAATGGTGTATGTATAATATACATATATAAGGAAATATAAGGTGAAGAGTTCCTGAACATTTACTTCTGTGGTACCTATGATTATACGGGAAAGTTTTCCTTTAAATAAAATATTCCTTCTAACTTAATGCAATTCTCCTCTTTCAATTTAACTTTCATGTTTAAATGTGTAAAAATCTTCATGTCCTGATATTAAGATACTTGTTTGGTGACTTACTCTTTCAATACCACAGGATTACTACAGTGTTATAAAGAAACCTATGGACTTGGGCACCATTAAAAAGCGCCTGCAACACAATTACTACACCAAGGCTGCAGAATGCATGGAGGACTTTAAAACTATGTTCTCAAACTGCTACATTTATAATGAGGTATGAGACATAGCACTTCTTACCAGTGACTGATTCTAGCCAACAATACAAACAGGGCAAAAACAAGCAAATGCTTATTAGAACTTGCATGAAGTTAGTCAATGTCTTCATGATTTTTTGGGAACAATTTTCTCTGAAAGGCAGGGAGGCTTTTCGCTGGGATTGACTGAGGGCACAGAAGTGGAATATAGCTTGCTGCTACAACATCTGAGTGCAGAGTCTTTTCTGCACAAGGATTCTACCTCCAGAATCTTGGGGTTTTGGCTGCAGAGTTCATCAACAACAAGCACTGTGTAACTCCTGTGCAAGTTTAAGGCTGGCAACCCTGAGCCATGCTCCATTCCTCCAACAAGTTTGACCTAATGAAGTGTGAGCATCTCCTGCACTTGGGTGCTTGTTGGCTGTGACTTAGAGTTTTTGAGCTTCAACAACTTTCTTCAGAGCATGAGTGAATAAGGGAATTGCAGATCTGCCCCTTTTCCCTTTGCTGTAGAAGCATGTGGATGTAAAGGAGGACTGTGCAATGGGATGGTGGGAGAAAGAGTACCTCAATAATGAAAGAACTTGTATTAAAGTGAGTTGGGGGAAGGCAAGGACTTCTAGATCTCTCTGGTGCTGGTGGCTTTTTTCAGTCTGGAGCAGGATTCTGTAGTCTGGCTATTTTATGAGGTAGCCCCTCACTACTACAGCCTCTCCTTTACTGAATGTCATTTTGCAGCCCGGTGATGACATTGTGATTATGGCTGAAGAACTAGAAAAATTGTTAATGGAGAAGATAGCACAAATGCCACTAGAAGAAAGACCAGTGAGTCTCAATAAAGGAAAGAGAGAAGGAAAGAAGCCAGAAGGTAAGGCCTGTATTATATGCTGAACAAACCTGAAGCAGTTATCTACTCTTTCCAGAGCAATCAGACAAGTAACAATACTGCTAATAAGGCTTTAGATGTTTTTTTGGAGAGTGAATGTCATAGCTCTGCTCAGCATCGTTATGTAAATTAATAGGTGTGAACATGTATGGACCTAAACTTAGTAACAGCTGAAAAAGACATTAGTAATCTGACCAGCCAAACCAAATACAGAAAAACATTGGTCACAAATGTGCTCAAATCAGTGGTGGAGAGCTGTAATATTGCTAAGCAATATATGCAGGTCTTAACTATGCTTAGGAAACTTGAATCTCCGTGATACAATTTGCACCTTTGCTGCTTGGTTTTATGTGTATGTAGGAAACAACTTGATTTGCTTCTTGGCAATAATTTTTTGACAATGTACAGGGTGTAGTATAATGCCTTTTTAATCATCCCTCTGAGGTTAACCCACAGCTTTCTTGAAGCCAAATAACGTGTAACTCGGTACAATATTCTAGCCGAGGCAATCATGGGGCAGAGTAGAGGAGGATACCAATGTTGCTGTAAGTAGCAATGCTCGTTTGCATTCATTTGTGTCATTTGTATATGGAAGAGTGGTTCTGTTGACAACTGTTCCATTTGACCATGAAAGCAATTAAGTGCAACATTTAAGACCTAACTTTAAAATTTCCTGTATTAAAATCACCAGAAGCACAGCAGCCCAACCCTGGGACTTCAAAGGGACGAAGCACAGGGCAGAGACAAGCGGAAAGCAGTGAGCAGCCTCCAGTGATGACTCCAGAGCAACAGCAGGTAGCATTGGCTCCTTTGTCTGCAGCTCAACTGACTGCTTTAATGCCAGCTGCAGATCCCATAACAAAAGTAGATTTCCTCAAATAACGCTCAGAAAGAAAGATACTGAACTTGCTCCTTCAGGCACTAACAGCAAAGCCTTAGGAGCCATGCTCATTGCAGGACCTTTTCAGAAATTCAATTGTGATGGAGGATTCTAAGAAATCTCTATTAAAACTTCCAGGTCTCTGCTAAATAACTGGGCCAGTACTAGTTCTAGAAACTAAGCAGAAATTGGGATGAATGCTTTGTACAACCTTTCTTATAAATGTGGTTTGAAAATGTTGTTCTCAAAGAAACAAAATGCACTTTAAGATGGACATTCTTGAAGTGTATTACTATACTCTGGCAGGCTTCACCTTGATGCAGAAACTGTTCTTCAGGTGTAGTTAGTGGGTTTAGTACTAAAATAAACCTCTTTCTAAGTTCTAGTTAGTAACTTATCATTTGTTGTGTGTAAATCAAGTGCTGGATTCTCCAAAAGTAGCATGTTTGCTTAAACACTGTGTAACTAGCTTGGAAGGTGTTTGGAGGTCACAAAGGCAAATTCTTGTGAACTGCAATCTGAGTTGTATGTGAACATCTGACACTTTCAGCAGAAAAACACTCTTGTAGTGACTTAGTTTTGGTTTTGCTCTTCCAATGAAGAATGGGCACATGTGCCAGGCTCTCCTACAGTGTATATTTACACTGTACTCGAGAGTCTGAACACTGATGACAAAGCACACATTGTATTGCTTCCAAACCAAATACTACCCAGGTTAAAGAAAACTAGAGATAAACCTTGTGCATAAAGCCCTCGATCAGGCCTAAAATGAATTGCAGTAGTTTTCCTCCTCCCTGTGGCTGTCAATCTTGTGGTAATTTCATAACCCACCAGCTTCTTGGAATTTTCTCCAACACTGACCACAGCCTGGCCTGCAGCACATCCTGTTCTTTCCCTTAACATCTAAGATTAAGATTGAGCTTGGTGTGCTCATCTTGTAATACCTTGTCAGTTTTCAG